TACTTTGAAATCCCAACAGTCCCAAATATAGACAAATTATTCGTGTCCTTTATTTTTTAAAATGAGTACCATAAATGGAAAGTAGTACTGATAATTCATTGCTAGCAAAAAAAATTGACATTGTCAAAGTTAATAAAAAATCTTATCAAGCGAAATATTGTGAATGAATTAAGTCCCAATTCAGTTCGTAGTGGTGTAATAGAGTGAACGAGCTCCCTCGCTTTGAATAATTAGATGACCAAAAGGAAAGAGACTTTCGCCCTTTGCATCGATGGAACTACTTTGATTCCATTGCCAGAAATGACAATGGAGGTGATGAGGAGCCACAATATTGAAGTAATGCTCAGCTTGATTGCTGAAACAAATATTTGTTTACACAAAAAATGAAACAATCGCAGGGACCGCATATGACAATTTCTCTCTTGTAAGCGCTACTACAAGACGCCACGTGCTCCGCATCGCTCTTTAACCGACTGGTCGACCTGCTATAAAAATGCTTTCGTATCCCGACACCAGATAGGGAAACGAAAGCACCGGTGATTGTTGCCGACTGATCTCACTCAGTACTGCACATTTCCAAGGTACCAGTGGATATGAAGACTATTATAGATGAAAGGCTTACAAAGGAGGAACACCCTAGAATAGGCGTTGAATCGGAAAAAAGGACCATATTTTAGTCTTCTATGACAACTAAAAACTCTACGTCTCACGGGAATATCAAACTGTCTCAAGAAAGGAATTGCACCTTAAAATGGGGAGAAGGGAAAACAATACGATATCAACTTTGTTTCATCTAGTTCATTTCCTCAGGTAGTTAATACCACCATTTGATAGCTTGCGACAATCAAGAGACAGAAAATAACAAAAGATAACGTTGATTGGAATTTTAAACTCGAAATGGAGTAATCTCATCTCCTTAGTTCCAAAACCGGAACAACAACGAGTAGAAACCCATTAGGTTATGGAAAAATTTTTGTGCATTTAGGTAGATGCTACGAAAGGAGGCTTAGCCGACGAAACAAATGACATGTTTTGATAGGTATACAGCAAAGCGTTACCACACATAGAAATAATAGTAATAAAAATAATAATAATAGTAAGTTCCTTTTGCAGCTGTCAAATTATACCATCCTGGTGCTCCATCCAAATGCCCTATCTCCAAAACAATGCGCTAGTCTATAATCTGATGCCGATACCAACAATATGGCGTCCTCCCTCACTTCTGCTACTAAGAAAAGTTGCCGCTGAAAAGAGCAAAGAAAATACAAAAAAACGTAACCAAGTAGAAAGCCCATTGAAAGACCAATTGAGGTTGAGAGCCATCTAAATCACTTATCTACTGTGTTTACAAAGTAAAAAAGCTTTGTCCACATGCAAGATAGCCGTACACGATCGTTATTTCTCTAATCCCTAACTCAATAATAAGTGCCACCTTATGCACTCCCAAATCATTTAGAAAATTTCGCAAGGTTATCTTTTACTGACCTTTAATTGACACTCGACGGCATCAAATCCATTACGAAAGGTAGGGGGCCCCAAGACGTCATTTCATCACCTACCCTACTGCTTAACCTTTTGTCGCCTACGGCAGTTAATGTGGGTCGAGGCTCGTGCGCATCAAACTTGGCACCACATGCGTAAAGAAGGTCTTCAACAATGTCGATCAAATTTTTACCAATCGCTAGCATAACCTTCCAATAGAGAGGTAAAACAAGTACCCAAAATGAAACCTACTTGGATTACCGACATTAAGGGCCGACAACATATATTCATACTACACTTCTACGCCGTCGTAAAGAACTTGTCCACGGGTCTCCAATTTTACTAGCTTCATACAACAAGGGCAAGACAAAATAATGATTTGAGCAAAACAGAATTGTTCAAGGTACAAAGGAGAGACGTAAAAACTGATAGCAATGGGAGGTACCCGTCGTATAGTATGAAAGTGATCGCTCTAAAGGAGACTCAAACAGATGGCCACAATGTAGTCGAGGGTGAAGAAGAGCTTAAACAACAACAGATATGTAATTTCAAGACATAAGTAGAGAGCGCAGTTTCGAATGAAACTACGCAGTAAGGAAAATGCGTAAGAAAGTGACAGAACCGAGTTATACTTTACAGAAATAAATGAGTCGATTAAGATTTGGGTAGACCGGAGCCAAATTATTGGTTTAAAGGACATTACTCACCAAGTCGTTTCGCGAAGAAATCGCCTTATTTTCTGTCTCCACAGCCTCTGCGCGACTTCGACGCTCGGCAACCTGTTGAAGCAATGCAGTCTCTTCTTGCTTGCGATCGGTGATGGCGTTCCGCAGTTGAACCACCTCTTCCACTTGCGACTATGGCGTAGGGTATGGAGATTTATTAATGCGGCATTCAAGGTATCTGAGTAGTCCAAGTGGGGCGGATGATTGTAATTAGGAACAGTTTCCATTCAGTTGCTAATATACCATAAGAATAACTTACAAGCTAAGGCATTAAAGTTCTTCAATGAACAAAAAAACACTTAACGTCTACCACATCAATTACACGAAGTTAAAACCAAGGGAAGGGACGATCACTTGTGAGAGATAAGTTTATAATTCAACAAAACACCCACGGCGTTAGTGGACTGATAAATTGGTAGGGGCAATACATCATGGTTGGCTGACCACCGCAATGAGAAACTACTAGAAAATGAGGAGAGGGTATAAATCCCTCGGTCTATGCAATAGTGCTAGTTGTATGCACTCACTATAACCCTAGATATCTGAATGTATATCATAGGCAAACATGTGAAAAGGGGAATTAGCAGGACCCAAGAAAAGGGGAAATGGAAACCCTTGTTCACTGCAAGTGGAAACTCGGTTTTTGGTAGAAAAGCACAAAGCATCTCACGTGAAAGGAACAAAACGAATGTAGTGGCACCAACAAGGACGGTTGCAATTCCTCCTGTAATAATGATGAATTTCGACACCGAAGCTTAGCCAAAATATATGTAGATTCGAAGAGGAAAATATGATTTGCATATTAGCTCTCTAGTCTGTTCATGGAAACAACCAGAAGGCAGACTGTGACAGTTTAGGATGGTTTGCATCATGTCGTAATGAAGGACAGGGAAAACCTACTCGAATAGAGATTTGCTGAGAGGCCACTTGACTCCGGAGGGTCTCTACGGCTGCCTTGCGTTCTTTAACAGATTCAGAGATCTCGGTCAACTGGAGACGGAGAGCAACGCGGCGTTCAGAGCGGTCGGCGACGTAGCGCTCGGCGAGAGCCCTTTGTGCAGTGAGAGTGCGGGCCGTTTGAGCTAGAGTCTCTGCCGCCTCAGTCATGCTTGATAGCTCAGCCGAGCGCTGACTCGCCTCGCCCAAAAGTTTAGCCGATTGAGCGTCCACTGACTGGCGCTCTCTGGAGTGTGAAAAGGAGGAAGGGGAAAGATTTCAAGAGCCTGTGTGCTCACTAAGAGTACACGCTCAATCGCTTGACAGGTTCAACGCTAATTGAAAAGCCGCCAAAGTAACGCAAGATATTAAGGTCGAACAAATATGTCTGTCCGACGACTAGCCACTTCACCTGCCCTCCTTCCCGTTCAGACGCCTTAGCATT